TACGTCCAAAACAGGTTCTGATAGCAACGTTTCTGATTGGGCCGTGGGCGTAAAGCCAGCCTACATTTCCGATATTACGTCATATCGGACGCAAATCTGGATCAGCTCTGTTGTAGCCCCGTTTTTAGAGAGTTGGGTACGGAGGAAAAAAGAGAGGGTTATATTTTCTGATGCTGCGTGAGTTCCCTGCAACACCGGGGACACATATTTATGTGTAAAAGTGCATTGTGCATGATAGGTCCCCTTTAAGAAGCAAAACGTTTGCTCGTACAAAGATTTCGGCACACATTTGATTGTATGGAGGTTTTTTTCATAAAGGAAGATGGCGTTAGACATTTAAAGCTTAATTCAAAATCCTTAATAGAACGTTTAATGTAAATAAAGCAGTGACAACATGCATTAGGTCTTCTTTAGACAGTTTAAGCGCCACGTACCGCAGTAGGTGTAGATGAGCTTTGAGTCCATGAAGCGGACCTTGAGGTTGTGCAGCACGGCCGGCTCGTGGAGGTAGCTGAGCGCTGTGAGGTCGTTCTCTCCCACCAGGATGTCGGGGTTTCGCAGGTAAGGCAGGTTCTTCGTCTTGGGGTCGAGTTTGTGCTCGATCTTCTGAAGATGACCAAGAAAAAAATAGCAGAACAGGATTTATAACAGCAAATCACAATGAAATACTAACACAAAAAGATGGTGAATCTTAAAAAAAGGTAAAGGCAACAAACACACGTCCAAGCTTAAGCATTTAATGTCTAGACTGATGAAATACATTTTCTGGGTACAATTCAGTATTTAGGTTTGGATTAGCTTACTTTGTAGTGAATTTGGTTAGCCTCAAGGTATTTTTAGCGTTTACATGTTCCTACTTAGTACACACACTTTGTCCAGTTCTGGATTAGTTGGTAAGATATATTTAAACTACTTTTATGTCCAGGCCCTTCTTTCTCAAGCTTAGGATAGCCTATTGTAGTTTCCCATATTCACATATCTTCATCATGTCTTATGATTGTAGTTTTTAACGGTTTGTGAATAAAATGAGATTAATTCAGCTCAAATCCGACAGCGACGTGTGTTCAGATTCTATTACTTATTAGATATATATAGAGGATAGCCATATCAAACAGCAATGAACCATGAATAGCCCTCAATCGATTCATACAAATGTAAAAAACGTACATTAAAGCAAACACCAACTAACGGCTGGGATCAAAATAGTTTTTTGTGTCCTGATTTCTGAATTTTTAACAACACTAACAGCCAAGTAATATGCAACTACTTTTCTTGCCTTTCTGGTGCCATGTTATTTGTTGATTTTCTCAACACTTGGTCTTCTTACGGTGCCAGCAGACACCGTTACATGTTTATACTCAAATGATGAGAAACATGCCTTCATATTGTTAAAAGCCAAAAGGTTAATTCCGCAACATAATCTTAAATCAAGTCCTGCGTTAAAATCCATTGAGCGATTTCTTCTGGAAAGCACATCTGGAAACTCCTTTACTGTTGCAGTTTGCAGGTCTGGCCGCCTAAGGCTGTGTAGCCATTGCTTGAATTATCATTAACAGAAATCCACACCCACTATGTATTAATACGGTTTTTCATGCATTTGTACTCAAAATGTCATGAGACTGGCTTCTGATTTGGCATGGCTCTGCAGCAAAACCACCAGTCGCTCAAAAGCTGTTATTGTGTTAATCTTGTTTTCTGTTTGGTTCCCCCTCGCTATCTGCGTGGAGACATTTTACATGTTTTACATCCCTATCAATTTGATCTCTCTCTGTGGCTGATGATTGATTCTGTTAGAAAAATCCTTCCAGTAAACAACGTCAGGAATCAAGTAGATAATCTGATTGTTTGACTGACTTACTGAGTGTGGTATTTGAACATATTTTGACGGCAGCTATTTACCAAAGCACAACGATAAGGGCATTAAGGCGGCAATCTAAATCTATTCTTTTATTAATTAAATCATTTGATTCTTAATCTGCACAATGATCAGCAAAAAATCCAACATGGGAGACAAGCATAACAATCCTAAATTGTTTGTTTCGCTATTCAAAGACATAATTTGCCTAACTGTTGGTATGACTTGTCTCTATCCTGTGAGTGCTTGAGCTTTCCGGCTGCTGCAGGCCTGAGACATGTGACGTGATATTTAGCAACCCAGATAACCTTGAGTTATTCAACAAATCCTTTATCTCAGCTCTGCCTGGAGTGGCACCAAAGATCTGTCACTTATTCCTTGGTTCATGTCCTTACTTTTCACCCAATATCATCTAGAATGGATAACAATTTTGCATGACATAAAAACCAGAACCAGAATCGTCAGACTTATTAAAGAAATAGCAAAAGACTCTTTATGACCAAATTATCAGACCTGATTTAGCTTTGGGCTACTAAATACAGACTATACTAAGGCTATATGACGTGGGATATTATTCAACTGTTCTATCATTATTACACTTTATGTAGTAGTTTGTGGAATTCATCCGTAGAGAAGGGAGGCATTTAGCTGCTAACTAGCTTTAGCCAATTAGCATGCAGTACCAGCAGTCTAGGCTTTAGCTGTTGCTAGGCCACACTACTGTAAGACTGATGTCGTCATAAAAACATTGAAATATGGCAAAAGCCCGTTGTCGATTTACGAGGATAACAGTCCCAGTGATTAATTACAGTCCAGGAGCTGCTGCTCGAAGTTTTCAGAGAAGAGAAATAGATAAAAAAGCAGAAAAAGGTTGAGCAGAAGCAAGAGCGTCTGCACTGTAAGAAAGCAGGAAGCAACTTTAGCTGTACTTCTGTATATCTCATTGTTTATGTTACTCTAAAAAGGGAGCACATTTCCACTAAGGGATAAATAAAGCATTTCTTATTCTGATTCTCCAGACATCTTGTGGAGTTCATGGGGGAAAACGTTTGAACAGTTGCACCGGTGTTGCTAGCTCCATTGACATATGGTCACATGATTAAAGGAGCAATATGGCAAATGGTCTTGCTGGCAACATACTTTCATTTTCAGGAGTGCTGTGTACCGGAAGCTGTTTGTATTCTAAACTGCAGAGTTAAATGTACTGCTCTACATTTTAAATGCTCCTTCGGGCATCTTTGAAAGCAGGTCTCATTTGTGGAGAATGGTAAAAACCAATAACCGCTAATGAGAGTCAGCACTTTGAAGTGTCTTTGAGACGGAGACAGAGAGAGAGACAGAGGAGGCAACAAAAAGAGCTGAGAGGAGAAATCATGGAGAGGGAGAGAGTCCTCACCGTTCCATCCTCCAGCATGAGCTGCAGGGAGGTGTCGCCATTTTTGTAGTCTTCGGTCAGCTCAGCAGACTTCCACACCTCCTCTGCATCGGGGATCCACACCCGAGCACGCTGAAACACAAGAGGAGGAAAGAGATGTTAGAAGATTAGGATTTTATCGTACAATGGCAAGGCACGTTTATTCATATAGCACCTTTCAACACAAGGCAATTCAAAGTGCTTTACAAAAATGAAAGACATTAAGAAAATGGCACTTAAACAGTCACAGGGTATATGCAGGAATCCTGAAGTCAAATGTAAGACCTTTTTTAAGACCCTTTTCATACATTTTAAGACCTCATCACCACTTTGAGTTTTAACCGGTTACCTTGGCGACACACTTTACCTCACATTGACTATATACAGTATTGATTGTCCTTCCTCCTTATCTTCCAACCATTTGGAGGCAGACCTTGCATTTCCATAACGATGTTGTTTAACAAAAACCCGGCCCCGTAAACGGACCTTCGCGCGCGCTATCAAGCAGTGACGCCGTGCGATGTCGCTGTTGCAGATAACGTCAGCCCAACGGGATGCCATAAATAAACTAACACCCCAGAACTCAGCACCTGCATCACGCTACGCAATGATTAGCATTCAGGCACACTGTAGAATACGACCTCCTTTGGACAATTTATATACTTATGAAACAAGCTACAAAATTAATAGCCTTGGGAAAATGCTGTTTAATACTTTTTAATAGGCCTTAATTTTCGGCTAAAAATTTGAATCTTATCAATCCTGTAATAGCTTGTTAAGACCCGCGGACACCCGCGAGTCATTGAAAAGCAAAGATAGGTAGAAAACAACTTAAAGTCAAGTAAAAAGCTTGCGTTAGAATTTATGATTGTGCTCCATCTTTGAGACCAGGGTCGTCAAATTGTCTTCATAATGGATGTATTATAATGTTAATAGCCATTTAAAGATAAACATATGTTACTTGGCATTTAGTGTGCATGTTTAATAAGGTAATATAGAGAAAAATGAACAGAAATGCTTAATATGAACTGCTGGGTTTTTTCTTCCCTATCCAGAACAAATATGAACATTGCAATTTTACAAAATTACCAAAGTTTTTGCATCTTTGCCTCACCATGAACGACCTTCTTATGGCTCCCTATTTTGTTCTGATGGGCTCAACCCAGAACAGCATTTGAGGAATACATATATAAATCAAGAGCATAGGACGTATAGGCTTGACACACATTACAACCAGACGCATGACTTTATTAGAAGTTGATGCATCTTTATATTTAGTTCACACATACACTACAGACCTTGTATTTTTTAGATCACTCCCACCCATAGCGTATACTAATAAATCATCTGATAAATCCAGACGTCCCTCTGCAACGAACCCCGCTGGCCACTTGACTACCCTCCCAGTAGGTTAGAAGTAAAAATATTTTATTGACCCAGTTTTGCACAAAATCTCATTTCCAGCCAAAAAAAGCAAATATAAGTTGAATGTCCCTTTTTTGGTCCCTTCCCTTAAAACTATGTGATAAAAAAAGTAAGGAA